CAAGTGTCCTCACTGAATGCAGCCCAGGACTGTATGGCTATCACGACCACCGAGGGCCTATCATAGCAGGAAATATTGATGCATAGAAGGCCACATTTGACATGTAATTTGGTTTAGGAACAGAATTTTGCTTTGTCACAGGCAGATCACTGCTGGGTTAACTTTTAGGCCTCTGACAATCTCTAAACCAGCATTTCTTAAAGTGCGGCCCAAGGACCCCTGGGGTCCCCCAAGACCCTTTCAGGGGTCTGTGAAATCAAAATTATTTGCCAGGTATTAAAGATATATGCAAAAATGTAAATACAGTTTTTCATGAAGAATATTTTAATGTTAGTATCTAATGTTTATTATTTTTACATGATTCAATAAATATTCTACAAATGCATCCATTTTAATTTTTAACACTGGAACTATAGATAAATATGCAGATAGTCCCCAGTTTAAGAAGAAGCTCTGTTCCCAAGGTCTGTCCTTAAGTCAAATTAGTATGTAAGCCAGAACAGTATTATTGTATAAGTAGTATTGTAATATTGTTATTAGTACTGTATAAGTAGCATTGTGTAATTAACTTGAACCATTGTGTATTTAATTCAAAACATTGTGTATTTAACTCGGAACACTGTATTTTTAACCTGTGTATTTAACTCCAATCATTATGTATTTAACTCGAAACACTATTTTTAACCATGTATTTAACTCCAATCATTATGTATTTAACTCGAAACACTGTATATTTAACCATTGTGTATTTAACTCCAATCATTATGTATTTAACTCGAAACACTGTATTTTTAACCATTGGGTATTTAACTCCAATCATTGTGTATTTAATTCGAAACACTGTATATTTAACCATTGGGTATTTAACTCAAATTTTGCTACAATAGGCTCCATTCTTAACTATGGGTCGCTTTCTTAACCTGGGACTACCTGAAACCCTTATAAAGAAAAGCTCTTTTGGGGTCCTCCATAATTTTTAAAAGTGGGAAGGGGTCCCGAGAGCAAAACATTTAAGAAACACTGCTCTAAACTATGCAGGGAAGGAGGACTTCTAAAGGTTTGTCCTTGGAGGTAGGTAGAGTCTGAAGAAACTCACAAATTTCCCAGTCAGAATGGCTGATGATTTCACCAACACCCTGAATAATTACAGGATATGGAAATAACCAAGATGGATTGATAGATTCTCACCCAAGCACCCTCTTCCCTTTCACAGAACTTTTCTAGGAATTTAGAACAATGAAACCAGCAACAAAATGATAGCAAGTCTGACCACGGACAGTTTAAAATTCAGTATTAAGCTGACCTATGGGAGGAATATTAAGTCGTCTTATTTTTTCCCCATTAGATTGCAACTACGTCATGCCATCTGACAGAAGTTTAGAAAACTATTTCAATGTTTATTTCTTTGCAAAACATCTGTTATTAATTCAGCATTTTTTGTTTAAAAAACCCCCCTTGATGTTAATTTGGAAACTACCATAGTGCTTTATCAGACACTGATAATCAAAGGGGAATGTAACTTCAGACTTCTGAAATTACCCTTGTGGAAACAGTAAATTGTTAGGATTGCTTCGGGTCATATTCTGGAAACACTTGGGAAATGAACAAATGTGTGAGTCCAACATGGCTGTTTTAATGTGGCTGCTTTAATGAGCCCTGATGGGTGTGGGATTCAAATGCTACCAAACAGCATTTCAGAAGCAGAAGTGAAGCGCTACATTGCCCAGTTTTAGATTACTGGATCAACAAAGACTGTCCTAATGAAAAAGATATTTCCATGGGCTCTACAGAAGGAGATTCTGGATTATTTGGACCTCAATAATTTTGCCTCATTTCAAGGTATATCCCAGCTCCAATTGTTCCTGGGTGAACTTGCTTTCTCATTCTAGTTTTTGGACTGATTTCAGGCCAGAAATGCCCAGCAGAAAACAGATCTGAGCACCTCCTTCGCAAGACACAGCTTCTAAAAATGCACCTACCAAGAATCAATACAATCGACCAACACTGGAAAATTTTCTACATCTCGTAATCCAGCTACGATGAACACACTAATTTTGGAAGGAGGAACAGCAGCCTTATGAAGCGTGGATGGTCACCGTTTTTAGTCCTTGCACAGCAGGTGATCGGGGCGCTTGAGACCTCCAACCCAAAAGGATGCAAACATTTTATTGGGCAAGATTCCTGCCTCCTTAACAGCTCTCACTGCATTGTCAGTGACTTTCCTAACAGGGGATCCAGCCCTAATGCCCTGCCTAATACTTCGGCAAAACAGGAGAGGCTTAGGGAAGACGCCTATCTGGAACTGCAACTAATTTCCTGCCTCTGACTGAGACGTTTATATGATTTAACTTCATTGCAGCAGGGAACTGTTGTATTGGCTTAGTGTTTATTTACAAGACTTTACATCTTTTATTCCTTTTACGACTGATGTACCCTTCTATTGGACACGCTTACTCATTTTATCAAGGTGGTCTACAATCAGAATACACCTTAACTAACCTCTCCCCTGCATTCTGGCCATGCTCAGAGGCTCCACCTTCCCAATACTGCCACTCCAGCTGGGTCAACCCCCCCCCATCCTGACCACTTTGACACGGGCCGAAAAACATCTTCACGGTCTGCAGCTTCGGCCTCCTCCCCTTATTCCTCCCCGCCCAAGGGGCATCGCCTTCCCAACTGGTAGCCTCTATTTTACACCCAAGCCCGAAGCAAACGGCTGAACACTCCTGAGCGCTTTCTTCCTTCTCCCCCGCCAGCCCTCTGCCCACGCCCAGAGGCATCCCTTCCCACCCTCGCCATTCCCGGTGCATCACCTGCTGCGAAACTGGGAAGCTCCTTTTGGCCTGGGGCACCCCCTCCTCCTTGCCCCCGGCCCTCTGCACGTGCCCAGAGGCGCCCCCTTCCCAACCTGACACCCGCCCGGGACTCCATCCCTCCTCCTCCTCCTCCTTGCCCCCGGCCCTCTGCCCACGCCCAGAGGCACCCTCCCCAATCTCGCCATTCCGGGCGCATCAGGCGCTGCAACACCCGGAAGCTGCTCCGGGCCGGGTCTCCGCCCCTCCTCCTCGCTCCGCCCTCTGCACATGCC